GCCCTTGAACTCACAGTGATCCTCCTGCCTCACCCTCTCGAGTGCTGGGATTACAGGTGTGTGCCACCACGCCCGGCAAGAATTCTGAGAGGCCAGGTGTAGGCCTCAGCTGCCACCTGAAAGGCCCAGGCTTGATTCTGTGGGCACTTGGGAGCCATTGAGGGTTCTATCCCAACTTTATAGCCATCATTGCCCACTTGCTAGGGTTGGAATTGCCTCTTCCCAAAAGGGCACAGTGGCTTCCACAGCCACCTCACCCATCTGCTCCCCATGCAGGTGAGGCTTCTCTAGGCCAGCGCTGATAATTTAATGTTCTGATTATTGGCTGATGGTTTCCTAGGTCTGAGAGCTGTCAGCTCTGCCCTGGAGGCTCTGTCTGTCTGGCTCATCTTTATTCAGGGCCGCCCTGCATCCAGCGTTATGCTTCCCCCCACCTAGGGGCTCCTCTGGAGTCTGGCCGCGTGCAAGCCAAAGCATCCCGCTCAGCACATATTTCACAACTGGCTGATGGGTTCCTGCTGGACTTTGTTTATCCTCCAGCCCTGGCTCAAGAGATTAGGGCTCTCTCCCATTCCGCTTCTCGTTGCCTGCTCTTGGAGCAGGAGCCCCGGGGAAGCCAGATTTTGGAATGGAGGTTGACGAGCCCACAGCACAGGGGAAGCCAGCTGAGAGCAAGCGGGTGACGGGAACACGTCCCGCTGAGCGGGAGGGGGACAGATTCCTAATGAGGCAGGAAAGACTTAGGGCAGAAGGTGGGAGGATTTCCTGACTGCTGAAGTATGGGCTGCAGAGGTCTCAAGAGGTCAAGAGCTCTTAGCCAAGGCTGGGGAATGGACTAAATAGCACCGAAAAAGTATTTTAATTTCCAAGTGTTTGTGGATCCATCCAGCCTGCATTCAAGGGTCATTTAGTCCAACCTCCCGCATTGTTCAGGGAAGGAAACTGAGTCTCAGAGAGGGGAAGGCACCTGCTCCACGGGGAGACTGGGCCAGGTGGTGAGCTCACCTCTGGGCTCTGACCTGGGGATGACGCTGACAGTCATGGCTCTCAGTCTCCCGGGACCTGGCATGAAACCGCCCAGTAGTGCCACACTGAGGCAGGGCAGACGGGGTAGACTTGTGCCAAGGCAGAGTGGGAGGTCCTCCGCTGAGCCCACTGGGCCCTGGATGCCCGCAGAGAAGCCTAGGGGTGGAGCTGGAATGCGGAGTCCCCGGCCTGTCCCCTGGCTGAGTCCCACTGTGCTGTCTGAGGGACCACTGTGGGTGCAGGCCTGCCTGCCCAATGGCCTCAGGGCCTGACTGTCTCACACCAGCCCCTTCCAGTACGGCAGCCTTGGCTTCCGCCATCCCTCAGGTCTCTGGCACCCTCTGACTCTGTCCCCACCACACTGGCCAAGGCGATAGGCAGCTTCTAGCCGCACAGTCAGCAGCTTCCTTCCAGAGGGGTGCTCTCCCTGGGGCCCTGAGTGAGTGGAGTGGAGTGGAGTGGAGTGGGGTAGGGGTAGCCAGGAGAGGACCCTCAGGCCTGGGGAGGGTTCAGGTCACCCGAGGACACCCAGAGGTTTAGCAGCAGCATAAGGGTGTGTGTTGGGGCTCTCTTTGAGGGTACAGATGGCAGCTGCTGATGGTATCCAAGGCCAATCTGAGGAGCCTGGACCAGCCCATCCACCCCACCTTAGGGATGTCAGACCGCCCCCACTGCCACACACACACTGGCCCTGGGAGGAAGTGGTGCTGGCCCTGGGAGGAAGCCAAGCAAGGCTGGAGGAGCCCTGGGGTCAGGACAGAGCAGGGTCTGCATCCTCACCCAGCTGGTCGCTGGCCTGTGTGTGGAGCAGGGATCAAGGGGTCCCTCCAAGGAGACCAGCTGGAGGAGACATGAGAGAGGCACCCTGTGGACTCCTTCCTGGGTAGCAGTGACTCCTGTGAACTTCCTTGGAAGGGTCAGAAGTTTACATTGACTGAAAAATCAAGAAACAGCACAAGCTGCCTAAACCATCCGCTATAGACTTAAAAAGCACGCACCCACCTCAAGCTCACTGCGGACTGGAAGAGACACACAGGAGTTTGGGGACATGAGTGAGGGCCAAGAGGGAAGGAAGGCTAAAAGCGAGACGAGAGAGGTGCCTTGCACACTGTTTTCCTGAACTGAGAATAGGATTAATTCACTTCTCTGCATTTATACAAACGGGAGTCTCAGGGAAAAGTGCTCACCAGAACCCCTGTTTTTCTCCAGTCGCAGGCCTGAGGACTGGAGGGCTCCATGTATATGTGGAATAAGGTGACCAAGGCCCTCCCCCTAAACACACCCATCACTCCTGGTTCCCCCTGACTCTCTGTTCAGGAGCTTTCTTCCCAGTGTACACTTCTGGGATGAAAGCTGATCTGTCTGTCCAGTTACTGCCTGCTTGCCACTAGACTTCATGTTGGCCACCCTGCCTGAGGGCGTGGCCATGCCGAACAAGCCAGGACAGCAGGCGGGACCCCCACCCTGCACCCAGTCCCACTCCAGCCTCCCTCGTCCCCCTTCTAACATTGCCCCCTACCCCCCAGCCCTGCAGAGGAGCCGAGCCTTCGGGGCTGGCTGCTGACGGAATGTCCCCTGGGAGGGCAGCGAGAAGGAGGCCTTGTTCCTTCCTGGAAAAACATACCAACCCAGGGAGGGGGCCACTGTTCCCTGGGACCTCGGCAGGGCAGCCCGAGGGAGACCGGTCTGGACTCTGGCGCTAAGAGGGCATGAACGGGGAGGGGCACACCGGGGCTGGGGTGGGGGCGGGAATGTGTGTGTCAGGAGAGTCCCCAGGAGCCCCTGGTGGTGGTCAGAGTGTGGAACAGAGAAAATGATAAGTGACTTCCCTCAAGGGCTAAAGGAGACTAATTCACAGCGATCTATGAGCAGATCAGGGGTTCCCCGGCGGGGTGAAGTGGAAGTCCCCCAAGGAGCCTGGCAGACAGCAGGAACAGTCGCTGGCTGCTTTGAGGTGGTCATTACACAGCCGAACTCAGCTGTCAGAAATTACCAAGCTGTGTGCCTGGAATTTGTGCATTTGGTTGCATATAGGTTACACCTAAAAAAAAATTACATTCTTAGAAAAAGAAGGACAAGAGAAATCCTTGGAGGGAGTCAGGCCCTGGGATTTCCTCCTTCACCCACTCCACTCACTGTGTGACTGTGGCCCAGTTCACGACCCTCTCTGAACCTGTTTCCTGCGCACTTCCAAAGGCATCATTCGCCCTGGTGTCTTGGGGGACAGGTGTAGTGCACTTAGCCGTGTGTTCAGAGCATCACCTGCAGGCCAGGACGAGGGACAGTTAGACTGAGATTCAGAGTTGCTGGTAGGTGTCGGGTTTCATTCTGTGACCCGCGATTGGTGTGGGGCCATGGTTACGGCTCCACCAACAACTCAGAATAGTCCCTGGCCGCGAATGCCATGGCCTCTCGCACTAGCTCTTCCAGCTTCCCGAGTTGCACAGCCAGCTCATGACACGGCCTGCAGAGGAGGGGTCAGGCCAGCAAAGCTCCTTGGGCCATCTGTGCAGACTTTATTGAAACCGGGCCTGGGGTGGGGGCGGCAGACTGTCTGGGGCTGAAGGTTGGGTCCTGGAGGCCTTGGCGCAGCTGCCTGGGCCCTGCCTGTGTGGTGCGGGGGCCCTGGATGGTGGGAAGGGGAACTGACCGCTCCTCTCCCTGCTCTGAGGCTTCCAGGAACCGGAGGGTGAGGACCAGCTCCCAGCTGGTTTGAGGCCCAAGGGACCCTTGGGAAATGACTGCAAACATTCCAGGGGGCTCGAGTAATAGGGCTGAGGCTGGCCAAGATGTCCCCCACTAGCCAGAAGCCACCTCATCCTCACCCACCCTGCACTCCGAGCTTCCTCTCCATTCCAAGTAGGTGAGGTCACCCTGGCTGCCTGGACCAGGCTCCCCTGGGAGGCCAGGCCCCAGGGAGGGAGCCCAGGATGTGCGTGTGTGCGGCATACACCCTGGCAAAGTCTCAGACACCAGACTCCCAGTCCTCTGCCTCGAGGTTGGAGCCTAGAAGCCCTGAGGCCTGGGAGAAGAGGGGATGCTATGGTCCCAAGCCCACTGCCCTTCCAGCTGGTGGCCGATCTGGGATGCAGCGCAGGGTTCCGGGGTGCCCACCCTGCCTCCCACCCATCCAGGCCCTTCACTTCCAACTTCGGGGTTGTTCTTTCTCCATTCTGTTGTGGGATGGGGTCTGGCCCTTGAGTTTAGTTTTTGCTTATTCCTAATAAGCAGTGTGGCCAGCAGGTGGTGGGGGCCGAGGCAGGAAGCATGGCCCCCTGGCTGTGGCTTGGGCTGGAGGTCAAGAGGTCACAGGGCTGAAATAGTCTCCCTCCTCCCCTGGGCTCTGCAGGGCAAGGAGCGGGTCGTCCCTCAGATTGGACGTCTGAGGCGGCAGACACAAGCGGGTGTGCGGACCCAGGGTTGATGGCCGGAAGTGGTGAGGTGATAAGAGATGGGGAGGAGGAGCTGTGCCAGGAGGAAGCATCCTGGGCAGCTCAGGCTGGTGCCCAGTGGGCAACCTCCTCGGGGGAAGTGCTCTCCTCCCAGCCCGCCCACCTCCGGCCCACTGACATCCATCTAGCACTACCCCTGTGCCTTCCTCCACTCTGGGCCAGAAGCCCAGGGCTGTCCTGGTGGTTTATGAAGGAGGCCAGCCACGGAGGCTGCGGTGTGAGCGCCAGGAGCGATTGCCCCTCAAGAGATCGCTTCCTTGCGATTCTGCCTCCCGGCCTTCGTTCACGCTGCACCATGCCCCCGCCCATAACACCTTACCCTCTCCAGCTCTCCAAACTCCACCCTGTCTCAGTGGCCTCCTGACTTTCTGCTGCCTGGCTCCACTGACCTCACTCCTGAGCCTGGGACTCCCCCGCAACCCAGGCAGAACAGCCAAGGGGCATCGGTGAGGGTCCCTGGGTATTAGCAGGGACAGCCTGAGCCGCCCATGCTTTCCTCGCTTCTCCCACTGCCCCCTCCAGGTCTCCCCGACTTGGTCCCGGACCCCAACTATGTGCAGGCATCCACATACGTGCAGAGAGCCCACCTGTACTCTCTGCGCTGTGCTGCAGAGGAGAAGTGCCTCGCCAGGTAAGGAGCTTGGGACGGAGCCCAGAGAACAGCGACAGTCCCCTAGAGCCACCAAGACCAATGCTCAGCTGCCAGGCTGCCTGCACATAGCAGGACCCTGGCCAAGTGACCAAGCCCTTGGGGCTGTGCCTGCTTTATGTAGGAGCCCCACCTGCTCCGAGAAGCCAGCAGGGGAAGGGATGGAATGGCAGCCACCATGTGTGCTATGCAAGAACTTCACTTCTGCTGTGCCCTTTAGTCTTTACACCAGGGCTGGGGACATAGCTCAGCGGCATAAGTGCCTGCCTGGCAAGCACAAGGTCCTGAGTTCGATTCCTGGTACCAAAAAAAAAAAAAAAAAAAGATGTAACTTTGCAACCTAGGCATTTAATATGTAATGATAAAGCCTTGTCTCTGCTTAATCTTCACACCAGTCCAGATGGAATGTATTCCCTGTCAGGAAACTGAGGCACGCTGAAAGAACTAAGACATTTCAGGTCTGAGCTGTGCAATGAGGAGACCTAAAGTTTCCATGCCCCGGGCCCCGGGAGGTCCTATAGAGTGGACAGGCCTGCAGGAGGAGGACACTTGTGGCTTTCACTGGTCCAAGCTGTGCCTGCCTGGTCACAACAGGGGCAGTGGACTTGGGTGAGAGAGGCCTCAGTTATAGGTTATGCTGAAGAGAGGGCAAGGAGGCCAGTTCACAGGAGCCCGGGCAGCAAGCGCAGTGCATCTTATTCACGGGGGCTCCAAGTCCTGCAGAGCTTGCCCCAGAATTACATGTGTGCTCTGGGGGCATTGTCCTGTGCCAACAGCCTGGGTAAAGATGGCACCAGCCTGCTACCTTTGTGGAGTGCCTGTGTTTCTTCATGCCTTTTTTTTTTATTGGCTCTCTCTATAGACTTTTACTTTTTACTACCTAGAGAACCATTCGGACTCTCAGAATTTCTCATTTCTATTTTTTTTTTTCTTTTTTTTTTTTTGTCTTTTTGAGACAGGGTCTCACTATGCAGTTCAGCCTGGCCTTGAGCTCACTTTGTAGCCCAGGCTGGTCTCGAACTTACAACAATCCTCCTGCCTCAGCCTCCCCAGTGCTGGGATTACAAGTGTGCATCACCAAGCCCGGCTGCATTTCTCATTTCTAGAACTTAGAGTCCAAAGCCACTGAGAGTAATTGACCACAAAGTGTCACCTGTGACAAGATAAAGAGCTGGTACCAAAATGTGATTCAGCTCTGCTTCCTTCATCAAGGAAGTCTGGATGGAAGGATGGATGGAAGGAAAGAAGGAAGGAAGGAAGGAAGGGAGAGAGGGAGGGAAGGGGGAGAGAGCAAGGAAGAAAGGAAGGAAGGAAGGAAGGAAGGAAGGAAGGAAGGAAGGAAGGAAAGGAGGGAGGGAGGGAGGGAGGAAGTTTGTTGGGCTGGTCAGATGACTGAATCAATGATTCATGACATGATGGATTTATAGTCTGGTGCAAGTTCCTTAATCTCATCACAGATTGGCCAAAGCATTACTGTACAACCATTCCTGGCCCAGGACCCCATGTTAGTGCCACTGACTGGCCCGCCCCTTTGGGTCTTGCGTCCTGTTTGTTGTCGTCCTTGAGAAAATAGCACATTCTTCTGGCTGTCCTTTCTCCAACACTGAGGCACACACAGCCTCAGTGGTAGCCTGTCTGACTCTGAAGGGCTTTAGTGAAAGCCAGACTGTCGCTGTCTTCACAGGCACGCAGGTTCCCAGGCCCAAGCTCCCGGCAGAGGGAAGAGGAGGATCTCGTGATCTAGTGGAGCAAGGGGCCCTCACCCACGCCACAGCAGCAGGACAGAGCCTGCTGTCCCAGCACAGACCCAGGCTCCAAGCCGCCCCCAGCGTAGGCCGTAGCCTGGGCAGAGCCCAGGGCGGAGGAGGGATGCGCTCCAAGTCTCACCATGACTTGTGGCCAAGCTGGGCCTCAGACCCAGACCCAGCTAGTTTCCCACAGTGTGCTGAGCTGAACAGCAGGGCAGGGTTTAGCCGAACAGAGGGAAGGAGGATGTTTTGCTTCAACCCAGACGCAGACGGATTCCAAGCCGCCTCCCCTAGACAAGGCTTTGGACCTTAGGTCCTGGCAGACGGGAGTCACAGCCGCCCGCTCCAGACAGACTCTCAGAGAGCTGATCCTACAGCTGGCCACCGCTTGCCTCTGGCCTTGCAACCCAGACCTCAGTGGGAGCCAGGGAAGAGCCCCGGGGGCTGCCAGGACAGCTGTCAGCAGTCAGAGGAAGGGGGAGCCGCAACCGGCCATCCTGTCCCCTCCGCCTCTGCGTGCACATGTGCGTGCGTGTTCATGTGTACGCATATCGTCTCCCTGCTGCCTCTTTTTGGTCTCTCTCTCCGAAAGGCCTGCCTCGTTTGGGCTCTGGGGCAGCAAGAGAGCGGCAGCCAGGCAGCCTGCAGCAGACCTGTGCTCCCCGAAGAGACAGGGCAGGTTGCTGACCCTGAATCTGCACCATCCAGGGGAGGTGGTCTGGTTACGCTTGAGCCGGCACAGGGAATGTGTGGCATCTGAGTGGGCTGCAGGCAGTGCTGGGCAAGCTCACAGGCAGGTACGCAGGACTCCTCCAAGCAGGGCAACCAGGGCAGACCTCCTGGAACAGGGGGCGAGTTAGGCCTTAGAGGCTAGGTGAACTTTGCACTTCCGGGTCAAACCAACAGTATGGGCCCATGGAGGCACTGGAAAGAGGGACATCTGCTGGGCAAACAGACTTTGGGCCAATGCCAGGGTCTTCAGGACAGGAGGGAGCTGGGGGGCGTGGCCAAGGGCAGTGTCCCTGTACCCTAGTCCCATTCCAGTGTCTCACGTGTCCCCACAGCACAGCCTACGCCCCCGAGGCCACCGACTACGACCTGCGGGTGCTGCTGCGCTTTCCCCAGCGTGTGAAGAACCAGGGCTCGGCGGACTTCCTCCCCAACCGGCCTCGGCACACCTGGGAGTGGCACAGCTGCCACCAGTGAGTCCCCACTAGCCTAACCCCTTCCTGTGCCCCTCTTCTGTCTGCCTCTTCTGTCTGCACACTGGGAGAGGCAGTTGCTGAGCAGGCCCCAGGGAGCACTGGCTGCAAGGATGTGTCACCGAGAGGGCATGGGGTGACAGGCTCCACTGGGGGATGCAGATGTCTAGAATTCAGGACAGCTGGAACCCCATAAAGGAAGTGAGTTATCCTGAATTCCCTCCAGAGTGACTTCGCTAGGTAGGGGACCCCAGAGGTGCCATCCTGAGAGACTTGGAATCCAGCCTGGTCAGGGATGGGCCCTGGCAGGTCACCTGGGCCCATCTACAGGACGACAAGATGGGGGCCCAGGGGACACCAGGCCCCCTTCTCTCCTCCCCAGACATTACCACAGCATGGACGAGTTCAGCCACTACGACCTCCTGGACGCAGCTACAGGCAAGAAAGTGGCCGAGGGCCACAAGGCCAGCTTCTGCCTGGAGGACAGCACCTGTGACTTCGGGAACCTCAAGCGCTATGCGTGCACCTCGCACACACAGGTTGGGGCTGAGCACAGGGTATAGGATGCAGGGTATAGGGGGGTCTTCTCCTGTCCTGAGGCCACCAAGGGCCCTGCAGGGACTGCATCCCCTGCCCAGTCCCCTCCCTGCCCCTTTCCCAGGGGTGTCATCTCCCAGAGAGAAAAGGTCACTGTCCATCTGGATACCATGAAGTCCACCACATGGTTGTCACCCTGCCCCTCTTCCATCCGTCTGTCCACTCAGCCTGACTGTCCCCCTGTTGTGCCTGTCTTTCTGTCCGTCCCACTCCCTCCTGCCATCCCTCCCTTCGCCTGTTGTATCTGTCTCCTCTCCCGTCTGTCCACTGGCCTCGGGAACTGGCCAGGCTCTGGGGAGAAGTGTAGAGGAAAAGCACCCCCATCATGCTGCAAGGACGAGGGTGGGTGACCTCCAGGAACCAGCAGCACCCCAGCCTCCCCTCCTGTCCCTTGTCTCAGGGCCTGAGTCCTGGCTGCTACGACACCTACAATGCGGACATCGACTGCCAGTGGATTGACATAACCGACGTGCAGCCCGGGAACTACATCCTTAAGGTGGGGCCCATGGTGTACACCCTGGTATCCCCAACTTCTGGGAGATGGGCGTGTTCCCACCCCTCCCAGCTGCCCATCCATTAGCATAAATCTAAGGGAAGATCCCAAGGGTCCTTCCCCTGAGCTGTGGAGATACCATCTTCCGTGTGGCCCAGGCAGGCTCTCTGCCACCCTGGGAAAGAAAGCAGAGAGGCCTCTATCCCCGCATGGGGACCCCTGCAAAGCCCAAGGCCCCTGTGCCCCAGAATCTCTCACAACAGGGTCTCCTCTTGCCCAGTGGCATGATGTGGCCCTACTCTGTCACCCCTGCACTTTGTGGGGGTCAGGTAGAAAAACTTGTTAATATGTGGGGCCACACTGTCACGCCCTGCTCTGTGTGGGTAGGGACCCTTCCGCAGATCACTTGGACCTCTGCAGCGCGAGGCAGGGAGCACGGGCAGGTGACCAACCCTGCGGGGAGACGGGCTGGGGGGAAGGCCACTTTCAGGAGCCAAAGCAGCTCCCTGTGGCCCTATCCCGGGCCCCTCTCTCTGGCTGCATACACCTCACCTCCTTGGGCCCAGGATGTCAGGTGTATTCTCTTCTGTCCGTCATTCAGCCACTCATCAAACATGAGCAGTGAAGGCTGCTCTAAGCTCTAGGCCCCAGGAGTGCAGACCACATAAAAATGTACAGCTCCTGCCCATAAGGAGCGTCCTACCATTTAAAAGGAACACCACTGCCTCTTTTATTATTATGGTACTGGAGATTGAACCCAGGTATTTGCCCTGAATTACAACCCCAGCCTCTCTTTTTTTTTTTTCTTTTGAGACAAGGTCTTGCTAAATTGCTCAAGCTGGACTCAGACTTTTGATATTCCTGCTTCAGGGTCACTGGGCATGGGCTCTGAGTCTGCAGAAGCTTCTGGTTTGCAATGAAGGGGACCCAATGACGTTTTCTACCACGGCCTCTTTGCTCCCTGCCCCTTTCCGTGTGTGTCTCTCTTGGTGTCTCTCCACCTCCCTGTTACTTCTGTGCTGGTCTGTCTGTCTGTGTGTCCCTCCACCCCTTCCCTGGTGACCAGGGGAAGCGCAGCCTCCTTGATTATCACCCCTCTGTCCTGCCCCCCAGGTGCATGTGAACCCCAAGTACATCGTCTTGGAGTCCGACTTCACCAACAACGTGGTGAGGTGTAACATCCACTACACAGGCCGCTACGTTTCCACCACAAACTGCAAAATTGTCCAGTACGTACACGCCCCCTGCTCTTCCTGCCCCGGCCCCCTGACACCTGAGGCACTGCACTTTGGGTCACCCTGGTGGTCAGACACAGTGTACCTGGGCTGGCGGCAAGAGCCTGGCCCACACGGAGCAGTGTGCATGGTGGGGCTCAGGACAGAGCTCAGTATGGGGCCAGGACCGGGGCTCAGTGTGGACCAGGGCCAGGGCTTATTTATTTTGGGCAGGGGTGATACCAGGAATCAAACTCAGGACCTTGCAATTGCCAGGCAGGTGCTGCTCCGCTAATCCCCGGCCCCTTTTTTTTTTTTTGAGACAGGGTCTCACTATGCAGTTCAGGCTGGCCTTGAACTCACTTTGTAGCCCAGGTTGGCCTCGAACTCATGGTGATCATCCTGCCCCAGCCTCTCGAATGCCGGGATTACAGGCGTGCACCACCACACCCAGCACCAGGGATGACTTAGAGACAGCTCTTTCACTCTTGGTCTGTACTGCTAAACTGTTCACAACCTCTACCAACACACACACACACACATACACACACACACACACACACACGCATGCACACACACCCTTCCCTCACTGCATGGGAACAGCAGTAGCCAGTTCAGCAGAGATCAGGGGCCTCACAGACAGGGTCAGGTCACAGTGATAGGGACACAAAGGGCATTGGAAATGACTGACACCTGTCCAGCCCTGGAAGGTGGCAGCCTGGACTTCAGCACCTTCTGCTCGCCGAGACCTCTCTCAATCAGCCATTCAAGCAAGTCTAGGGGAGGAGGAGGGAGGGAGGAGGAAGGAAGGGGCACACAGGACGCCACAGGCTGCTGGGGGGAAGGAGGCGGGTTGTCCTCTCTCTAGCCCCCATGTGCTGCTGCCAAGGGGCATGGGGACAGTGCCCTGTCCCAGGGGCACCCTGGGCACCGTGAGGCCCTCAGGGAAGGCAGTTAGAGGGGCAGCCACCTCCCTCCCACTCCCATGGGCCTTCAGGCTGCGGAGGAGGCCAAGCCCTTCCTTCCGAGAGCTCTTTACATAAGTGCTTGGAGAGGCCCGGTCTTATTAGAGCGGCCCCGTGACCCTGACCGCAGGCCGGGCGGCCGGGCCAGCACGCACAGGAAGCTGGACGGAGCGTTCCCAGAAAGGCCACGGGACTGACGCCTGTGGGTTTCTATCGTGTTCCTGAAGAGGAAAAATGAGGCTTAAGAAAGAAAAAAAACTGAGTTAGAAAAAACAAGCCGGAAAGTATTTCCAGACAGTAGCAGCTCTTGCTAACGGTCTAGAAAACAAATCCAGGGTATGGGGCATAGGGGTGGAGGCAGGCTGAGGTCCTGCCCAGGCGGGTGGGAGTCCATGGAGCCCCTCCTTTTGGAGCTGGCCGAGGGCTCGGCCCAAATTCTGGAGAGACATAGAGGCCTGTGTGTGCCTTCCGTAAGTGTTTCTGGCTGGAGAGGCCATGAGGACCCCAATTCCAGCCACCATTGATCTGCTTTTTCTTCTTTTAGATCCTGATCTCTGGGAGGGACAGACAGCCACTCTCTCTCCTTCCCAGGAGGCCCTGCTCCCCAGGCAGCCTCCTGCCCAGGAGCCAGACCCCGCAATCCACAAGCCGGGGTGCCAAGACACCAGGGGCGTCCTCCCTGCCGGCCTCAGGGAGCGAACGTGGGCCGAAACGACAGGGATTCCGGACCCCAGGCCCCATCCTGTACCTAACTTTTATCTCCGACATCATTTTGGTGGTTGTTGGTTTTTATTTTTTATATTTTGGCCATCCCACAGAGCAAGATTGCCTAGCTCTGGGCTAAATAAAACCAAGTTTTTCTACTCTGGGGCTCTGCTTGTGGCCTTTGCACAAGGCTACCGTAGCTGGGCTGGCCTCTGGGGACGTTCTCGGGCTTCAGCTTCCCCCAGAGCGATGTGGGAAGGGCAGTGGCCAGCCTGACAGGTGCACAGCAGTTTTGAAGCCATCAAGACCCTTTTGGGGTGTAGCTCAGGGCCAAGCCGACTTCCCGGGAGAGAACCTCACCCTAGCTGGGTGCTCCGACTCCCACCTCCTCCTCCCTTTACAGTCTGCAGCCTCCTGCTCCCACCAGCTACACCCGGCCGCCCACCCACCAGCCACATGCCCTCTACTCCCCCACACCCTGCTCCTAAATGCCAGGTGCAGAACTGGGCACACAGAAGCCAGTTCCTACTCCCAGGGCTCACACAGCCCAGGGACGGGTGAGACAGTGTGTCTTCCCAGGAAGCAAGAGAGAAGTGTGTCCTCAGCTGAAGGGATAGACGGCACAGTGGCATGGGCCAGGGGTGAAGGGAGTGAGATGGAGGGAGATCTCTGGGTCCGCAGCCCCCTCCTGCTCTGCTGTGACACCCCAGAGGTCCTGGGCACTGGGCCAGGCAAGGAAGAAGTGGAAGGAGGGTGCCGCCCCTCTTTCTTCCCCTCCAGCGGCCCCTGGGATTCCTGGCACCCTCACCCCCAGCGGGGCTCCCTTCCTTCCCACGGGAGTCACACCATGAGAGGGAGACAGCCTCAGTCCAAGGCTCTGGCCCAGGCCAGGCCCCAGGCTGTGTACTTCCGGTCAGGTGTATGGCACCCCTGAGGCTGTTTCCTGGCAGCAGGATGGGGGTGCTGTCCTGCCCAGCTCTCCTCCCATCTCTCCCAGTGCTACCCTTGCCTCATGCTCCCTGACAGCAGAGAGAGGACTCTGGGAGCCCCGCGATGCCCCAACCCAGACAGCAGGGTGGGGTGTGCGTGCCTGCAGCTCCTCCTACCTCCCCTCACTGAGTCTGCTCAGATTCGGCTCTTCCTGGCACAAGTAGGTGTCACAGCCTGACTCTCTCTGACGGGGGGGGGGGGGTCTGGAGACCAAGCAGGAGCTCAGCTGTGACCTGCGGTCCCCGGGTCACTGTTGTGTAACCACCACCCGGCCTGTGGGTGCTCCACCCCCTCGCCTTACTAGGCACATCCAGGAAAGAGCAGGGAGAAGATGAGGCACAGTCACCTGATTCCAGGCCATCAAAAGGACCCTGAGAGAGAGCACTGGATCCCTAAATCCTAGGTTAGAAAACCAAGGTCCAGAGTGGGAGAGCCTGTGTCTCTGGCTGGTCCCACGGCCATCCCTGATGGTCCAGGGAAAAGAATGCTAGAACCAGGTCTCCGAAGCCCCAGCCACAGCCATCATGCAGGGGTGCACCGTTTTCTGGGGAGAAGATCTAGGGGGAAGCATTTCCCAGGTCATGGGGAGGAAGGGAGGAGACACAAACACCTGGAGGCCCCCGGGGTTCCCATGCACATGCGAGCCCCTCAGCCAGGAGCTTAGGTCCTGGGGATGCTGGATGTCCCCAAGCCTGCCTTCGGGGGTGGGGACAGCTGGGCCAGTCCCCACGTGCTTGCAGGACGCCCTGAGACAGGGTCTGCAGAGCGGAGGCCTCTGCCCAGGTGGAGGAGAGATAGCTATGGGGGCAGGACAGGGCCAGGGCTTCGGCCTCCCCACAGGCTGCCCCAGCTCACTCCAAAGTCCCTCCCGGGGTGAGGGTGGCCGCCCACCTAGCCCAGGAGCTGGGTGGTCTTCGCTTCTGTACAGGCTGGCAGGGTCTGAGGCTGGGAGCGGGGAGGGAGGGGCTGTGGAGAGGGCCTGGGCTTGTCTGGTGGTGGCAGTCGGGATGCGCAGAGCCGGGAGAGGGGACAGGGCTCTCCTGACCTCTGCCTGAGCCCCTTGAGGTTCTTCTGTCTGTGTCACTGCGGGGAGGAGCAGCCTGCCCTGGTGGGGTGGGTCACCCAACCTCCAGCCAGGCCAGGACCAGGACCCAGGACACTGGCTCCCTCTCCGGCCCTCCCCTCAAGGGCCAGCTTAGACCCAATTCCTCAAAGCCTTCCTTAGCTGTCTCCTCTTCCCCTTTAGATGAGGTGCACTGTGTAGCCTCATCCGGGTCCTTCCCACCCACCACCGCCATGGATGACCATGGGGGTGGGAGGAGGACCCCAGTGCCGGTGGACAGAGGGCATCGGGCAGCACACCTGGGCACAGGTCAGCAGGCTCAGCCCAGCTGCAAAAGGCCCTGAGCTCACCTGCCCAGCATCCCTCCCATCCTCACCCACATTGCCCACTGGGACATTGGTGGGGTGGGGATCCCCTGTTCCTTCATCTGCCCTGGACCACAGATCCTTCAGGGATAACAGTCAGCACAGACCTAGCGGGAAATGGGAAAGGGCAGGCGGAGCAGAGGCAATGCCAGCAGCAGGTACCCGGCTGTGACCCTAGCTCTGCCTTCTAGTTGACAGCACAGGGACAGAGGACAGATGAACCCCTGGGTCCCTAACCTATTCTCATGAAAAGTATGACTTGCGTTTTCTGAGGCAGTCAGGGACTTAAAAGCTGTCTTTGCTAATGCACAGTGGCTCTTTGCTTGGGCCACCTGTGCCCAGTGGGTGACCAAAAGCAGGACGTTGATTCAGTCTCCTTGGTGACCTGAAAACTCTGGGTGAGGCCCCTGCCAAGCTCTGCACGCTGGCAGGTTAACCGTTCGGAGTGGGTGGAGCAAGGTGGATGAGCCTCAAGTTGACACCACCTACGTCACAGGGACATTCAAACACCCCAGAATGCCCAGAAGTGCCCGGCCACTACCCTCCGCCTCTGGCCACCTCAGATTCTGGGCATCTCATGGAGACTGACCTGTCTCCTCTAGGGAGCAGGACTTCCAGCGCCAACTCCCACCCAGAACTGGGGTGACAACCAGCCTGACCCTGGCCCTGGCCTCCTCACGGATCCACGCAGGCTGCTCTTGTGCTCCGGGAACAGCCTGTCCGGGCTTCTTTGTCAGAGCCGCTCCCTCCCAGCAAACCTACACGGAGCCCCTGACATCAGGTTCCACCGGGGCTGCGAGCTCTTTCCCTGGCCACCGCCACTGAGGAGCGGATCCTGGCAGAGCAGTCGATATTCTCAGTTCTACTTCTGTGTGTCCTGCCTGGTTCTTTGTTTGGGACACCGAGAACCTAGCACAGTCACCACCCCTGACGACAACCCCACACCCAGATGCAGAGAGCTCCAGGCTGTGTCCCCGCTCAGGGCTGCCTGGCCCTGGGCCCCAGGCTAAACGCCCCCATCCTGTCTCTCTCTAGCCACGGAAACCCTCCTGCGGTCAGAAGCACGGCTAGGCCCATGTCAGGGAGACACTGGTAGCGAAGGTGTCGGGGGGCTGACCCTGGGTCCCGTCTGACGCTGATGAAGGACTGAGATCCTTTCCTAGCTTCGTGGCCAGGGGCAAGGGGCTGGCAGGGATACCCGCAATGCCACGCAAACAAGGCCTCCAAAGTGGAGCCCTGCAGAGAGGGCCCCGGGCCCATCTCCGCCCCCTGCATCTCCCTCATGTTGGGGGTTTCCGCCTGTTCCCCTGGCACCCACACCAGGCCCCAGGCATGGCTCACTCGGGCGCCTGCCCCATGGGCCAGCTGGCGTTGGCTGGGGCTCCTTCTGCGCCTCTACAGAGGTTGGCAACACCTGGCCCGGGCCTTGGGTAGAGCCAAGCTCCCAGCCTCTGCCCAGTACCTCCTCCCTGTCGTGGTCGGGGCAAGCAAGACCAAGGCCCCACAGATGCCCACCCGCCACTCCTGAGACCTGGTCCCTGCTGGGGTGGCCGCCCTGGCAGCCCCCTCCAGGGCAGCACTGGGCACACACAACCACCACATGGGTTAGAAAGTGGCCGCTTACCTCCCCACAAACCAGGCTGAGTCAGGCGGGCGGTGCCCGTGGGCAGGCCTGGCTGGGATTGGCACCAGCTGGCCAGGGGCCCAGAAAACACTGCCCACATCCCAGGGAGCTCCCAGGGGCCCAAAGATGAGGGTCAGGACAGCAGCCAGAGCCTGGGTCCCAAGGGAACTTACAATATGTATCCCGGAGGGAGCTTTAACAAACTCTGCTCTTGGAAAGCAGAGGGGACAGGGTGAATCTGCGACCCTGGCACCCTGGTTATGCAAGGCATAACTTTTTGCTTCAAAAAGCTTTTCAAATCAAATGTGGAGGTTCATGCTTGTAATCCCAGCACTCTGGGAGGCTGAAGCAGGAGCATCACAAGTTCAAGCCTAGCCTGGGTAATTTAGCTACTTAGCAAGACCCTATCTCAAAATAAAAAATAAAAGAGGGCTAGGGATACAGTGCAGTTCAAAGGCCTTGGGTTCCCCAGACCAGCAAGTACAGTCCTGTGCCTGGTGCCACAGGCATTCGGTGCGGTCACTGGGACCTGCCAGGGCAGAGCTGGGAGCCATGTCATGGTGCACTCTTTGTGGCCCCAGGTGCCCCCTCTGGAAGCAGAGAGAGATGAAGCCATGTGCAGAGCTTGCAAAAATACTGTACAGAAAGGTCATGGCATGGATCGCTGCTGCCAGCTGTCGTGGTTTGCTGGAGCCTCCTGTTAGCTCGGCCGTCTGACATTTCTCTTCCTTTTAGAGATGTTCTTAAATTATTCTGGTTGTCTTTTTTTAAAAAAAAAAAAAACAAAAAAAAAAACTTTACTTTCTCTGTTCATCCCTCCTACAGGGATGAATAACATCTGACCAAGAAAACCAAGTCCATTTAGCTGGGTGCCGTGCCTGTAGTCCCAGCTACACAGGAGGCTGAGGCAGAAGGGTCCTGAGTCTGGGCACCTTAGCAAGACCTCCTCTCAAAATCTGGGGACCCTGCAGTACCTGACAAGCAAGGGGCTTGACCCACCTGGCCACATGCTCAGGCCAGCTGGGGAAGGAGGTGTTGCCCTCTGCTAGGGTCCCCACAGGTGGGAGCTTCTCCCAGAACAGATTGTCACTGTACCCAAGCCCATCAGGGGGAGCA